AAAAATCAAGCTGACTCATTTTATCATAATAATATGACTTTTTTTTCCGTAAGAGTTTTACAGCAATTGCAACACAACAAGGTCATATAAGTGCCGAAGATTAGAGGTGTTACAAGAGAGTAACCAGCATAAAAAAGAAGGAGGAGAGATAAAGACGATAGACATTTGATAGGAAAGAAGGAGCATACCACATCAGAGCACCCTCCAACCACCCACTGATCAGATGAATACATGTGCATAAAGAAACCAGAAGTACTTCATTCAGCTCAGCATTCTGGAATGTCCTCTATGGAAACAAAATACAGCTGTATATAATTGGGGGGATTATTTCTACACTTACATCGAGAAATTTAATGTAATCTCAAAACAGTTAGTTAGTTTAGTTTTAGTTTTAGTAGAGGTTTTACGGCACTCGCAACTGCATAAGGTCATATGAGCGCCAGAAGATTAGAGGTGTTACAAGAGAGTAACAAACATAAAAAAGATGAAGGGGAGATCAGGACGATAGATGTTTGATAGGAAAGAAGAAGCAAACGACACCAGAGCACCCGCCAACCACCCACCAAAACAGTTAGAGAGCTAATATCATGACTGAATTTGACAAAGAACAGTTATGGCTAGACAGTAAAGTTCACAGCTACCTACTCTCATATTCAGTATTTGAACCACACTGATCTACAACAATCTCTCAATTGTGTCTCTGAGATATTCCAGGGGTAAGCATTGTCCGGAAAGTTTGATGACAATGGAAACGCTATACGAAACAACACTATTATACTACTCAAGCTTATAACAAAATGTCATACTCTTTCAACTGGCCTGTATAACAAATATATAAATCTAAAAGAAAACAAAATTATGAAGAAGAGCTGAACTGGTCTTTGACTCGCCCAGTGCTAGCAGGAGATTTTATTTCATAGCATTTATAGAAAGCCTGACGTTTAGCTTTCATTTTACTGCTTTTTAAAAATTACAATGCTCTTCATTTTAAGGCCATATATATAATATTATTATACGTATAGAACAAATACTGACAACAACCAATTAAACTAATCGCTTGACAATCTAATTCTAAAATTTTCCAGTGAGTTTTTGTATACAAAACCATCACCAATACTGCAAATAAAGACATCAAAAGCTGTAATGATATCGGTGAAATAAAAAAGCATACATAACAAATTCAGCAAACTCAAAGAAGTGATTAATTGAACTTGTGAACACTTTTGTACGGTAACAAAACACAATTATAGTTACGGTATTTTTCCAAGAGAGGCAGATAAAAATGTAGGACAGAAAGAGTGCGGAAAGAAAGAAAGTTGGATTTTAAAAATTTGCAGCACGTTCAATAACGATAGAAGCAAAAGTCTTCTTAAAAAATCGACACAGCACATATTAAAAGACCGGCATAAAATCTCTTAGATGTGACAACAGAAAACTGTCACGACGCAGTGGAATCAGGCGCTCGTCAATTTTTGGACATGTTGAGTTAATGGTATCATCTTAAAACTTTCACTTGTCTTGCATGCGATAAAAAAACCACCCATCTATCTTGAATAGAAGTCGAGATATTTCCGATTGAAGAAGGTCGTGGTCACCAGTTTTTGGAAGTAAATTTTTCGAGAAAATAGCCGTCAAAGTTTGGTAACTTCCATAGCTTGAGAGTCCTTGAAAAATTAAAATTAGCATTTTTTGAGCCTTAAATCAACATTTTTTAATGGAATCCAGAGAGAAATTCGTTTTTAAATAGACATAAAAGGAGTTGGGCCCAAAAACTAAATTCGACAAAAAAAATAATAGCCAAACTGGCAGAAAATTTATGTTTTCTTCTATTTCAGTATTTAGACGAGCGCCTGATTTCACCCCGATGCCTCACACAAATATTCCCGAAGGAGACAAAAAAAAGTGAAAAAAAAAAAAGAAGTGAATTTTCGTCAAAATGTTGGAAATATCTTGTGTGAACTATAGTGGACCTTCCATACAGTAAACTCCTGGAGACATGCTTGAATGTCAAGAGTGAGGAATACACTTTATCTAAAGTGACAAGCTAACTAGGACGGAAAGAAACATTAGTCGCTAACACTTCCACTGTCGGGTTACGGTCAGCCTCCTCTCCGCAGGCTGGGTCAACAAAGGAGACACAGGAGATCACATTAGATCAAAAGTTGTACAGCAAGTTCACACCATACAGAGCAGCCTCTCTGGAACAACATCGTTGGGACCAGAAAAAGAAAATGTCGGTATAAAGAGTTGTCGTTATAGAGAGTTGTCGTTACAGAGAGTTGTCGTTACAGAGAGTTGTCGTTACAGAGAGTTGTCGTTACAGAGAGTTGTCGGTATAGAGAGGCAACCAAAGTCTACTCATGATATAATATAAGGAAAAAGTCGGGACCTGGGCACCGTGTCGCTAAATGTAGTGTCGAAGAATTGATGTGTTACAAGAGAGTAACACACAAAAAAGAAGAAGGAGAGATAAAGACGATAGATGTTTCATAGGAAAGAATGAGCAAACCACACCAGAGCATCCGCCAACTGGACAATAGTTAGAACAAAAAGAAGTAGAAGGAGCAGACCCCCAGCAAAGAATGTGGGCCGCTAGTCACCTGGTAGGGCAATAAGTTGTGGTGAAAAGTTAATCTTTCCTGTCTACCCAGACATGCTGTCAGTTTGCAAATGTAATATCTGTGTCATTCAATACACCTGACACCACTTGGCAAGACGCTCAACAAGAGAATAAATATAATTTTCTTCTCTTTCAGCTGGTTTTGAGCTACACTAATTAATTTGTTCATGCAGCTCAGCCAACATTCTCAACACAATGCCAATTTCCTCAGTGATGCTTCCCAGATAAACGTCCAGTTTTTACATCTAGAAAATTGCTCCAAAAAAAAAAAAGCCCCTCCGAAAAACAACCCAACCAAAAGAATAATTCCAGAACCAATATATAAGGCGTTCTGTCTAGTATAGAAGAAGACACGATAATAATGCTTGATGCCTCAAACAGATGAATAAAATACGTAAAAGCTTTGGCTTGAAGTAACAAACAACAATGATAAATCACGTTGTTTCCCTCAGAAAACAAAAGAAAATCTCAAGAAAAGACGGGTTCGTGTGCACACATTATAATGATGAATACAAGCGGAAAACTCAAGAGGAGGGCGTACACACTGACACAACCATAAATAGTCAGACTCCCGCATCATCGTCATCAACCACGCGAGTCCTGAGTTAGAGACAGCACATCTAAGCCAGGAAAACAACTCATGTTTATTTGCAACAAGAATATAGCTGGTAATAATGACACAGAGACAAAACAACTGCAGACTTTTGGACTTTACATTTACACCCATTTAGATCTCGTGTAATATAATGTTACGTATACGTATTATGTATATACAAACATTCACTTCGAGGAAACAAATTTGTTTAGTTGATTGTCCAAAAAGAATCGCTGGTCAAGAAGCGATCTTTTTTCCAAAGCAACACTCAATCATGCTTTAAAAAAAATTTCAAGATCAGTACATTCACGCAGCACGGCGGGACAAAATTCATTAGTGCAACGAAAAGAAGAGTATTTCACACCAATGACCAGTAAAAACTTGGTACGTATCGGCACACACTGCAGAATAATCATGGAAGGGTACAGCCAACGAGAGGGGACAAAATCACCACGCACGACACGATAGACCAATGTCTAGGAGAAAAAAAAAGCCACAAGACCACACGACTGAGAGGGGTACAGGGAGGGTACAACAGTAGGGTCCAGCTACCTTCCTGAGCGACGCCACTGGGCTGTGCTGACCTACGCTTTGGCGAGGACACACCCGAGGGATCTGAATCGAGTCACCAAACAGCTATCATAATGTGTGACACTAAAGACATGCTCTGAACGACAGTGCACTGAGCCAGTTGGGTAAATGTAGACAATAAGATAAGATAATAAGATAAGACAAGATAAGATAAGATAAGATAAGATCAGACAAGATAAGATACATATTTATTGTCCAGATCCTGGCACATTGGTTTGGTGTTTCACCACATTCACACATACACACACACACACACACACACAGACATAATATGAGATTATCAGAGATTGTGAGTCCGTGTTGATGTGTGTAGCTTAAAGAAATCTCAGTACATACAACCTTACTGTCAAGCCCAGCAGAGTGAGCAAGAGAAAAGAACTCTACGCCATTGTAAACTAAACTCTTACTTTTGACAAAACTGTACTCTGCCATATTTCAAAAGTGGAAAGTAGCAAAAGACTGGAATATGATAGAAACTTTAAAACATACCTAGATCTTTTCAATTCTTAAAGTTAATTTACATTTTTACTATGTATATCAGTATTCACTTATGTTAAGACACAAAAAATAGTGAGTCTGTCCGCTTGTCCAATGTAATGATCAGCATAAGTGAGAAAAAGAGTACAAAACTTTGATCTGGGAACGCAATGTACCGGTAGTTTATGCACTGAGAGCATAATTCCATTCCATTTCCATATCAACCCACAAGTATCTATGGCAAAATTTCAAACAAAAACATAACAGTACAGTTCGTAAAAGAACAAGAATAAAGATGAAAAAGAAAGTGTAACTCGGGAAGAACTCTGAACCTTTGTGAACCAAACTATTGCAGCAGTCAAATCCGTACCCTTATCAAATTTCAACGCTGGAATGGAGCAAAGGATAGAAATATGAAGTACACATAAAAAGATAACGGCTACTGGAACCACCTTAAAGCTTGAGACAGCATTCAGCGCATAATCACATTGTGCATTGTAATCTGAGATATCATCTCTTTGTCAAAAACATTATAAGTGACAAGAAACCTAAATCTGCATTTAAAAACTGAATTTGAAAAGAAAAAAAGCACACTATCAATGACTTTTTATTGTTGCAAAGAGGATGCCTGGTAATCAGCTTTCCAGAAAAGTTTCTAAATTTGTGCAAAGATTGATTGTGTCGAGCAAAACTATTTAGAATAAAATATCCCAGGCCTTCTATTTCTTTTACTTTTCCCTCTCTGAGTACAATTGAGTATTTTCTTTCCTTTATCTGCACAGGCAGGATGGGGTTAAAAAGGTCCTGGAACAACATAACATATCTATCACAGACGCTACACACCCAGCACAGGACCGAAACCTGCACCTCCCCTCGACATCCTAAGGATACCAGAGGAATGAAAAAGTAAGTAAGAGTAAAAGTAAGTATCTGGACATCTGTTTCCATCAACTCTGACCTAACATTGTTTCTCCAATGGCAAGACACCCGGGACCCACAGCAACATAAAAACAAGGCCACAAAGGCCCTATATATTAGCTTCCCCACGACCCAGTAATCGGATAAGAGCGTTCAAAGACCCACCTTCTGCCTCTCTCCTGGCCTCCCACCACCCAGTAATCAGATAAGAACGTTCAAGAACCCACCTTCTGCCTCTCTCCTGGCCTTCCACCACCCAGTAATCGGATAAGAGCGTTCAAAGACCCACCTTCTGCCTCTCTCCTGGCCTCCCACCACCCAGTAATCAGATAAGAGCGTTCAAAGACCCACCTTCTGCCTCTCTCCTGGCCTCCCACCACCCAGTAATCGGATAAGAACGTTCAAAGACCCACCTTCTGCCTCTCTCCTGGCCTCCCACCACCCAGTAATCAGATAAGAGCGTTCAAAGACCCACCTTCTGCCTCTCTCCTGGCCTCCCACCACCCAGTAATCAGATAAGAACGTTCAAAGACCCACCTTCTGCCTCTCTCCTGGCCTCCCACCACCCAGTAATCAGATAAGAACGTTCAAAGACCCACCGTCTGCCTCTCTCCTGGCCTCCCACCACCCAGTAATCAGATAAGAACGTTCAAAGACCCACCTTCTGCCTCTCTCCTGGCCTCCTCCTCCTCTTGTCTCTGGAGCTCGATCTCCTGGGAGCGAGTCATCACGGTGTCCTTCACCTGTCGGGAGAGCGTGAGCAAAGTAGTTTGTTTTAGTAAGAGTTTAACGCCACTTGCAACACAATAAGGTCATATAAGTGGCGAAGATATAAGGTGTTACAAGAGAGTACCAAACATAAAAAAGAAGGTGGGGAGATAAAGACAGTACATGCTTGATAGGAAAGAAGAAGCAAGCCACACCAGAGCACACGCCAACCACCTACGAGCAAAGTAAGACAAGGATGAACAGAATGAACAAAGTAAGACAGGATGAACAAAGTAAGACAGGATGAACAAAGTAAGACACAATGAACAAAGTAAGGATGAATAAAGTAAGACAGAATGAACAAAGTAAGACAGGACAAACAAAGTAAGACAAGGATGAACAAAGTAAGACACAATGAACAAAGTAAGGATGAATAAAGTAAGACAGAATGAACAAAGTAAGACAGAATGAACAAAGTAAGACAAGGATGAACAAAGTAAGACAAGGATGAACAAAGTAAGACAGGATGAACAAAGTAAGACAGGGATGAACAAAGTAAGACAGGATGAACAAAGTAAGACACGAATGAACAAAGTAAGACAAGGATGAACAAAGTAAGACAAGGATGAACAAAGTAAGACAGGATGAACAAAGTAAGACAAGGATGAACAAAGTAAGACAGGATGAACAAAGTAAGACAGGATGAACAAAGTAAGGATGAACAAAGTAAGACAGAATGAACAAAGTAAGGATGAATAAAGTAAGACAGGATGAACAAAGTAAGACAGGATGAACAAAGTAAGACAAGGATGAATATAGTAAGACAGGATGAACAAAGTAAGACAAGGATGAACAAAGTAAGACAGGATGAACAAAGTAAGACAGAATGAACAAAGTAAGACAGAATGAACAAAGTAAGACAGATGAACAAAGTGGGACAAAGATAAAGATCATGACATTGATAAATCAGCCCATTTATAATTCTACGGTGCATGAAAACATGTTAATATCCCCACTTTGGGAATGGCCTAAAGACAACTTCAGTCAGAAGCACTGCTCGAGGGAGGAGGTGGGGAAACAACAACAACTTCAGCAACAATATTCAGTGAAGTACACAAGAAGATCTCTCACCTCCTTCCTCTCTCCCTGCCCCTCCATCACTTTGTGTTCGTGGGCCAGCTGCTCCGTGAGAGTTCGCTGGACTTTCGGAGCGTTGGCGCCGTGGACGAAACTGACCAGGACACCACCCTGTGGAGCAACGTCAAGAAATATTTCCATATGTGAGGAATCGAGGTGAAATCAGGCGCTCATCAAAATAATGAAATCAAAGAAACAGGCATTTTACTTCCATTTTGGAGGGTGCGGTGGCAGAGCGGTTAGTGCGCTCGTCTCCGAAGCGGAAAGTCCGCGGGTTCGAGCCTCGGTTCTGACTCGGATTTTTTTCGTTCCTACCTGCCCACCCAGCAGTAATGGGTACCTGACTTCGAGTTGGGGAAGTAAAGGCGGTGTGGAAAGGAACTGGCCACCCTACCACAATATGCCGAAGGCCCAGGAAGTTGTCTCACTAACAAGACAACCTCCAATGTCCGGATCAGATGCGGGAACAACTTTTCTTTACTTTTACTTCCATTTTGGCAATTTTGATCGAATTTTGTTATTTTGGCTTAACCCCTTTCATGCCCTTACAGAAACACATTTCTGTGTGAATTTTTATGAAAAACGTTGATTAAAGGCACAAAATATGTCATTTTTCAGTTTTCAAGCATTCTATAACTATTGGAGCATCCAAACTATGGTAGCCAGTTTCTCGCTAATTTCACCACTGAAACCAAGCGACCTCATTCTCCTTCAATCGCAAATATCTTGACTTCTATTCAAGATAGCTGGGAATTTTTTTCGCTAAAAGCAAGATAAATAATTAAGCTTTCAGATGCATGGTACTAATAACTCAACATGCCCAAAAATTGACCTGATTCCACCACGTCGTGAAACTTTTAGATATTTTTACCAGGACCGGGAATGAAGAACAAACTTTTGATCCGTAAAAAGTCAAAAATTATATGACAGTTTATGACTTGGTTATGTTCAAATAAGAAACGATACTTACATAGGTGCTGTATTTTCTCAAGTCTCTCTAAAAAAGAAGTCTTATGTCATAATTTACTTATTCAAAGTTTTTCAGATACAAAGTATTCTGCCAGCCAATCGTCAGTACTTTTTACATCAACAATATTATGTTACTTCTACTTTTTTTTTTTTGGGGGGGGGGGGGGGGGGGGGTTTCTAAGAAGGAACATTAAAAACTGATAAAAATATTAACTCCTATCAGCCAGTATTAAATTGAAGGAATTTCCTAGACAGCCAGAATTAAACCTGCCATGTCATTCAGAATTTGTGTAAGTTTTTGTTTGACAAATAATTTTTCACGTAGATCTACCTCGTTCATCAACGTGCCAAAAACATTAACCATCCGCAAGATCAAAGAAGCAGATAGTGAGATTGAACATAGAAAAAGTAGGTGTATTGTTGAGGAATTTGATTAACAACCTTGATTTACAAAGTGACTCGGATTCTAGATCCAAATTTGTAGGTCACACAATGAGCTGACATGAGAAAAATACGCCTTTGAACATCCAAATCTCATAAAGGATGTATCATCATCATATCTACTTACAATTTGACCAACAATAGAAACATGGATTTGGAGGAGTAGGCAGAAATGTGTATTTAAGAAAAAAACAACCCAAAAAAGTTCTTTTGTATATATAGTTAATGTATGGTTGTGAAAGTTCTCTTTTATGTAGATGAACTGGTTTTTCTTGTTTCTGTGAAATATTTTTTCTTGTGTGAATGAATATGTGATTGGTGGAAAGCACTCAAAGCTTATACTAGTATGGGATAGAGCACTAGATGAATGCAATCTATTATTATTATCATAATTATTATTTAATTAACGAAGGTGAAAACGACACACTTCATGTCCTTCTGGGAAAAATGGCAAACGAAAACAACACGGAGCGTGCCGTTCTGGTTAAGACTCAATTGATCAAGGAAAAATTAATTCAACGATTAATTGACCAGTTGAAAGAGGTAGAAACGACTTTTTTAAAAAAAAGGTAAACAAATATTGTACAACAAAAACTTGATGAATCTTCATGTATGGTTATTTGTTATATGAGATTAGTTCATGTTCTCTGTACATTATGTGGTGTACCCCATATTATTTCATGGTATGTTGTACCTGTATCATTCATTGTCCCTGGTAATCCGTGTTCACAGATGAAATCATCATCTACCGTTTATAATAAATGAACTACACTGAGAAGTCTTTCTTCACTTCACACCAAACATGATGATAACAATTACGACTAATAGCAAAATAACAAAGCCAAAACAGGTTACTCACGGCGTAGAAAAGAAACGTGGGCTCACATCGACCTCTGTACTGCTCCAGGGCGTCTATTGTGTCAGCCTTTGCCTGTGGAGCAGTTTGGTTAATGGCAATATTACAACAGTGGATTTGTGTTTGACTACAAAGGAGAAGGTTATATGTATGTTTGTCGACAAGGCTTTTCGATAATACTAAGACTAAGAGTTTCATTAGTTACAGCTTGAACAAAGTGGCTTTGTGTTTTTTTGACAGGAATAAAAATAATTAATTAGTCTATTGCACCACACACAATAATAGTGATATTCAGTTCGAAGTACGGCGGAAAGAAACGAAGATACAAGAAATAAAAGAAAGAGGGAATTAAATTTTTTTTAAGGGGGGGGGAGGGGGGATGAAAAAAAAGGTAAAAAAGAGGAGAAGAAAAAACCCCCCAAAAGTCCAGAGAGAACGGACAACAGATGAAAACTTATTGCTTAGATCTAGTAGAGAGACGGACAACAGATGAAAACTTATTGCTTAGATCTAGTAGAGAGACGGACAACAGATGAAAACTTATTGCTTAGATCTAGTAGAGAGACGGACAACAGATGAAAACTTATTGCTTAGATCTAGTAGAGAGACGGACAACAGATGAAAACTTATTGCTTAGATCTAGTAGAGAGACGGACAACAGATGAAAACTTATTGCTTAGATCTAGTAGAGAGACGGACAACAGATGAAAACTTAATTGCTTAGATCTAGTAGAGAGACGGACAACAGATGAAAACTTATTGCTTAATAGAGTTAAATGAAATGTAGCAAAAACATACTCCATTTCACAAAGAGCATTATAATTTATCACAATACAAAACCAGGTTGGGACTCTTTGCTTTCCTAACATTGTCAGTTCAATAAAACCTTTATATAAAAACTTACAACTGCGAAATGGAGCAGCGAATCCCCAAGTTCATTCTTGAGCCGCCTGAAGGTTCCTTGTAGAGCATTACAGGGACCACACCACTCCTGGTAGACATCCACCACTGCAGAATAGTTCACAGATCATCTCATTAGTACTCGCATGTGAAGCATGCTGACAAAATGAGTTACTTCTCCGATTCAAGCTTCATGGAAACAGATAGATATATCACGCTTATAGGTGAAGTTTTTAAAATTTATAAGTATGGAATAACAAAAGACGGGTTATAGTATGGCATTAATAGAAAATCTACAAATTTGACCATAGTGTCGATTTTTGGCCAATATCTCCATTTGTGGATTGCGAGAAGTAACTCATTTTGTCAGCACGCCTAACATAATAATAATGACTCTGGACCGGATACGGCAGAATAAGGAATGGCGGCTCGCAACCGTGAAAGATGGAGAGTCATTACACGTCAACCTCTGAGTCAGAGATGATACCTCCAGGTACCCAGGTAAAGACTCTGCATAATTTTCAATTACTTCAAAAATTTCAAAAGTAAGAATTACAAAAATAATGTACTTTATATATATATATATATATATATATATATATATATATATATATATATATATATATATATATATATAGATATATATATATATATATAGATATATATAGATATATATAGATATATATATATATATATATAGATATATATAGATATAGATATATATAGATATATAAATCGAAGCAATAGGGTTGTGAAGAAAAAACATGTTTTCCTTCCATGATCATTTAAAAAACAAAACGCAAAGTTATAACTAACGTTTGTATAACTGAAAAGCACTTTTCAATAAAGAAAGATCAGAATCTTTCTTCCGTTAGTTTACTAATCTCCATACATTATTGCAACTAAAAAAACATGTTCTCAAGATTACTGAGTTGCTTTGTTTTTTGGTTGGGTTTCTTTTTCATACTAATTTCATATAAAGGGCCAATTTACAAACACATTCAGACAGCCCCCCCCTCCCCCCACACACACAAAGCCCCTATACACTTGGCCCAAGCCTGAACACACAAACACACACACATATACACACATACACATACAAACACTCAAAGACACACACACGAATACATACACACAAACAATCACAAATGTGAGGCATCATGATGAAATCAGCACTCGCCCAAATAAAGAAATCTAAGAAACTGACATTTTTTCCACCCGTTAGGCAATTTATATTGTATTTCTGTTTTTGGACTCAACACCTTTTATATCCTTTTAAAATCACATGTCTTTGTTAATATTACTGAACACTTTGATCAATTAAGGAACAAACAAAATTAAAATTTCAGTTTCAAAGGACTCTCCATTAGCTTTGTAAGTCATTTTCTCGCTCCTTTCCTTTGACTTCAGGCTACCCCATCCTTCTTCAGTTTCAAATATATCAACTTCTATTCAACTTAGATTAGTATTTTTTTCACTTAAAGCAAGACAAATGAACAAGCTTTAAGATTACACATTTTCTTCAAATGCACAAATATTGACGAGCGCCTGATTTCACCACATCGTGACACAAATCTGTTTCGACATGGTGGAATTAGGCCCTTGTTTGGGTATATTGGTATCATTATAAAGCTTGTTCATTCGTCTTGCTTGTGATTTTTAAAAAATTACCCATCGATCTTGAATACAAGGCCAGATATTTGCAATTGAAGGAGGTGAGGGTCGCCTGATTTTAAAGGTAAAAATTAGCGAGAAAAATTTATTAAGAGGCCAAAAAGTCTGCTTACATGGCATGAAGACCTTGGAAACAAATAATTTACATTTTTTGGTGCCTTATATTATTTTTTTCATAGAAGTCTTCACAGAAATACGTTTTTCAATAGATATAAAAGCGTTTCAACCCCCCAAAAAAATTTGAAAACAAATTGCAAATCCGGCAGAAAAAAGCAGATTTCTCTGATTTCATTTTTTTGACGAGCGCCTGATTACACCGCGCCGTATTTACCCCACAGGCCCTCCATGGCCAGGCATTCCTCCCATTCCTCCTGTGTCTCCAGCTCTCTCTGCAGCTGAATTTCCTGCTTCTTTTTTGCCATCTTGAAGAGTAGCCCTCACAACCTGACAACATCACATGAAAACTACAATGAACATGGACACAAGTAAGATTATTTGGGAGGCTGCTGCCTCAACTTCGAAGCAACGCCAATAGGATAGTTCACATGGGAAATAAAAAAGCCGACAGACTGGCTGTTGGGGCCACCTCAGTTGACAGCACGGTTCAATCAGACAAGGTCGAGATCCTGAAATGTCTCTCTCAACACCTGATTGAAGAGGAAGATAAGGAGGCAGAGGCCTGTACTGCTGTGGAGAGGACAGTGGTTTTGGGAGTACAGAAAGGAAGCGGAAAATCTGGTACCCTTGCAGGAAAGACCAGAAGAATGTTCAACCAGATATGCACTGGTACCATCAGTAGAAAGACCCTCAGTGACATTTTGGAGAGAGTAATGGAGCATCCATATGGATCTGTCCGGAATGCAGGGATGTTGCTTCCTATGAGCAAAGAATGCCTCACTTTGACTTTGCCTGTGTGGGCCAATAAATATCCTGGTTGAATGAAATATAAAAACCCGGCAGAAAGAAGAAGATATTCCATGAAAAACATCTTTACTTGCGGAATAGGACTCACGTCTTATGTATGGAAAGAAGAAGAGCCTATAAATTCTTCCACCACAGACTATTCACAAGAACTGTTGCAGCTTTAAAATTGTATGAGTCTAAGAAAATATAAAAACAACTACTGAATATACAACTTTGCCCATCAATATATAATACAAGGGAGGACTTCCGTAACGAGCGACCGCTATTAAATCTAATTTAGATTATATACTCATGTATACAACGACGAAATAACCACAACTTTTATCACAAATTCTCAATAACTGTTCCGACTACTGCATGGATCTCTAGAGTTCAGTTCCTCACTTTACTATAAACAAACTCACTGAAAACTATTTTAACAGGCTGCTATTTCCACTTTAAACACAACAACCATTCTGTTAAGAGTATCTAAGGTGCAGGGGCATATATGGAGATAGATAGATTTCTAGTATATATATGTGCATTCTGAGAGTGTAAACCTGTTCTTCTATAAATTAGTATCACACTAAAACCAAGTCTATATCTAGATTCTAGATCTAATACTAATCCTTTAGATCTAAATTCCAAGCCTTACAGTCTTAAACAATTCATCTTTCAACAACATAACATCTAGATCTAGATCTAGATTCTATTTGCCATTGGACATCATTGGTATAGAGTATAGTATAGCCTATTGGACTGGCAACTTCAAGAGGACTCTATTACAGGCTCTTATGTTGCTAGTTGAGTCCTAGATGCGATGCTAAAAAAGTCTAGCAAGGCCTGACTGAGCCTGACTGAGACCCGAGACTGACGCTGAGGCCTGTTCGGAGCTACTACCTGGCTATATAGTCGATCTAGATCTAGATCTATCTAAAGCCTGCTCATACAGGGCGCCTCCTGACCTCCTAAACTAAACAAAATGTAGGGAAGATTGAAGAATACCGGACCACTCGTACATTATTGCGCGAGAAAGTGGGGCGGGTGGTTGGGGTGGAGGAGGGGGGAGGGGGTGTTCAGACAAAATTTTAATGAATAGATCTACCGGTCCGAGATTCTCCATTGAGAGATACTAAAAATGGGGAAATTATGAATTCCTAAGGTTGAGACATAGGCAAAGTCAGTCCGCTGGTCCGGTATTCTTCAATCTTACCCAAAATGTAACAACATCATAGAATCTATTCTATTTTCGGCAAGGGGTTTGGGGGATAACACGACATAGAAGAGATAGTATAGTTCTCGGTACTGGGGATCTTAAAAAATAGTTCACGTTATCATGCCACTTACCCTGTGTCAGACAAAAGTAAAATATGTTTGTGGTAACAGGCTTGATTCTTGCCAACTTGCTTCGAACACCGCGGACGCTGTTGATAGTAACGGTTACTTCCGGTGGAGACTGATTGGTTGCTGTGCAAAATTATAAAAATAAAAAACCGGAGTTCTTGACGAAACAGCTTCTTCTTTCTTAATTAAGGTAGGGGCGGTATAATAAATAATTGGCTCAGGTATTTATTTATTTTGTTTTGTTTTGGCTTGACTTGTTTGTTTGTTTGTTTTTGTTTCTATTTTGATGGAATTTACGTGTTTTATCTATTAATATTATATTTTTTTCAGATATAATAATAATAATAATAATATATAACATTTATAGAGCGCATTTCCAAAAAAAGTAGCTCAATGCGCTTTACATTGGAATACCCATTTTTCAAAAACCTTTCTTACTACTTCCTTTCTTCTCAAGCAATATACATTAATGCACACACACACACACACATACACACACACACACACACACACACACACACACACACACACAGACTATTTTCATCCAGACATAGGAAAAGAACAAATGTAATGAAAGATAACGTTAAAAGCTTATGAAGGATAGGCCTGTAGGAACAGAAAATGTTTAAGATGTCTTTTGAAGCTATCAAGTGTTCTTATTTGTCTTAGTTTCATGGGTAATCTGTTCCACATAAATGGACCAAGATATGAGAAAGATCTCTCTCCATATGATTTGTATGATTTTACAGGTGTCACAAGTAGGGTGTTATATGCTGATAAAAGGGGAAGTTGTCCAAAATTAATAAACGGGGAAGGGGGGGGGGGGCGAATAAACGTTGAGGGCGGTTTGGGGGGGGGGGGGGATCTTATTACTAGATGTTTACAAAATGTGAATAATACAACCCCGGGGGTACAAAATGACCCCAGGGCGCACGTGGCGATAGGTTTAATCAGCGAGGCGTGCTGACAAAATGAGTTACTTCTCGCAAACTCGCAATCCACAAGTTGAGATATTGGCCAAAATTGACCCTAGGGTAACATTTAAATTTGTAGATTTTCTATTGACATCGTATTTTTAGACTATAACATGCCTTTTATTATTCCATACTTATAAATTGTAAAAATTTCACCCATAAGCGTGATGTATCTATTTTCATAAGGTATGAATCCGAGAAGTAACAAACTGCTGCTGGTTTCTGACTGGCTGGGCTGACCGTTGGCGCTGTGAATGGCTCGTGAGACATGTGAGAATTCCTCTTCTAAGCCTGACAACAAAGTTCTTTTTGGACCAGCAAAACATTGGGTCCCTTTTGGACCAATGAAACATTGGGTCATTTTTAGACCAGTAAAACAGTCATTGGGTCCCCTTTAGACCTGTAAAACAGTCATTGGGTCCCTTTGGACCATTAAAACATTGGGTTTCTTCTAGACCTGTAAAAGGTTGGGTCCCTTTCGGATTAGTCAAACATTAGGTCTTTTTTGGGCCAGTAGTTTTCCCTGATCTCTGGCTTCAGTTTTGAAATAATTTTTCGTAGCCTCGTTGCCTCCTCCTCCGTTCGTCCAATGTAGTCCTTTGAAATCGACAAAACCTGTGTTCTGATGGCTGCTTTCTAACCTAGGTGTCATGACGGGGTGGAATCAGGCGCTCGTCAATTTTGGGGCGTATGGGGTTATTGGTATCATCTTTTTAAAGGCTGTTCATTTGCCTTCCTTTTGGTGAAAACAAATATCTATCTCTATGTTGAATAACGTCGAGATGTTCATGATTGAAGGAGTGGGGGTCACGTCCTGGTTTTAGATGAAGAAGAGAGTGTAAACACTTGAGTAATAAAGGTTTCACAAAAGAATTAAATCCAAATTTGAACAGCACATAAACAACTACAAAAAATTAACCCAATACGTATGCCCTGGGGTCATTTTGTAACCCCAGGGTTGTATTGTTCACATTTTAGAATACTTCTAGTAGGCTATGAAGATCTCTTTGAAATTTTCAGTATTAAAATTTCTTTTAAAAAATCAGTTTGACAGATTACTATGCAAAGCGTACGGATCGGATTTTAAAGAGTAAAATATGTCCTCTTTGGCAAGTGGTGGCACAGAGTTCCCCCACGTCGTATGGATACGATAGTAAAACACGACGTACAGATAGGGTTAAGAGGTGGCACAGAGTTCCCCTCGTCGTATGGATACGATAGTAAAACACGACGTACGGATAGGGTTAACAAATAAGGGCGTCTGTCCGCTGTCACATAATTGCAGCTGGGTCACAGTTCCACTTAAATTGTCTTTTATTTGCACGAATTATTAATCAGCTCCTTTGAAGCACACGTAAAACGTATACCGTAATATAGGATGTAAATACTCTAGACTGTAAAGTGTCCTATTTACCAGTTCAACGGGTTCAAAAAGGTACAAGAAGTACATCAACCTGCCCTAAAGTGTCGCGAACGGAGACCTTGAACTATGGGCGTTGTGCTGATCAAACACTTCGGCCTGTCAGTATTCGCGGCATCCCGGCCATACACTATATATAACTATCCATGCATGGCGTTAACAGTGTGTGTTTTAGGGGAAAGGCTCTCAAGGCTGTCACCTGATCAAAAATCCTGATTCACAGATCCTATATTTACAATGAACGTCACGTTCGAATGTGCAGTTCATGACGTGGACTTCTACAATTTCTTATAATAATAATAAAGAAATAATAATAATAATGATAATAATAATAATAATAATGATGGTAAGAAGCAGCAGCAGCAGTAGCAACAGCAGCAGTAGTAGTAGTAGTAGTAGTAGTAGTAGTAGTAGTAGTAGTAGTAGTAGTAGTAGTAGTAGTAGTAGTAGTAGTAGTAGTAGTAGTAGTAGTAGTAGTAGTAGTAGCAATTTTTTTCTGGTAGAGAATCTTTGCTGGGAATAAGAAGTCGCGTCGGCAACCTAGTGGTTAAGCTACCGGACTCGTAATCGTGAGATTGCGGGTTCGGTTGTTCGAGCCTCAGCTCGGTCCGACGTTGTGTCCTTGGGAAAGGCACTTTACACGAATTTCTCACTTGGCTCAGTCCTTTCGGAGATGGACGTTAAACTCGGAGGTCCCGCCTCTTAAATAACCTGATAGTATTGATTGGGGTGTTAACCTATACCATATGTAACCATTTTACCATTTGGGAATAAGAAGGGGAATCCCCGAGTTGAAAGGGGATAATCTATTTACGGTTGCAAGACACTGTTCTTCTTTTTATTGAATTATAGAGTCCTACAGATCCCATGAATGTCTGTGGACGAATAAGTTCAGAGATTTTAGTAATAAATTACATGTATTAATAGATGGCGTACGAAGAACGTGTATCATTTTGCAAAGTTTAATCAAGAGGCAACTGAAAACGTTCGTGATTAAAAAAAAAACACCTAAAAAAAACTATCCCAATAACTGTGTGAGTGACCATAAAATAATTAAAATGTTATTTCGCTAAGCCACATTTTTGTCCAAATGACCCTAGTCTTTTACTTGAAACTCGAGACGACATTATATAAACTACCTGGTCTTGCTGGATTCGATACTGTTGGCGATTACGCCAAGATAAACTGTAACAAAGAGATAATTATAGTGAAATACTAGTTAAATTGCTGTTCCCCGGTAAAATGACGTAGTCTAAAACAGCCGTGTGCGCTGCTCACACTACTCAAGCAGAACGCTCCGTATCCCGGACTCTGGCATGGAGATCATCAGGAGAGAAAGCGTCGCTGTTTCGGGCTCTTCCTCTCTACAGCTTTTCTGACGCACCGAGCCCCCTCACCTATGTGAGGTCTCCATGCTAGTTTGACGGTTTTCCTCTGCTGCCAACTCTTAGGGTTCATTCCAACCTGCGTCCTCTTGGTTGAATATGAGTTCGTTACTTTTCTTTGAAGCAAGCCCTGCCACTCTCATCCACTTACGGACACTAGTTGCTACGAAACCTCTGCATCCTACCTCTACCGGAAAATGGGTTGCTTTCCATCCTTCCTCCTCACATTTTTCGACAAGTACCACGTATTAGAAGTCACTGTTCCCCGGAAAAATGATGCCAGAAGTCACTGTTCCCCTATAAAATGACGCCAGAAGTCACTGTTCCCCTATAAAATGACGCCAGAAGTCACTGTTCCCCGGTAAAATGATGCCAGAAGTCACTGTTCCCCTTTAAAATGACGTCAGAAGTCACTGTTCCCCTATAAGATGATGCCAGAAGTCACTGTTCCCCGGTAAAATGATGCCAGAAGTCACTGTTCCCCTATAAAATGACGCCAGAAGTCACTGTTCCCCTATAAAATGAGGCCAGAAGTCACTGTTCCCATTTAAAATGACGTCAGAAGTCACTGTTCCCCTATAAAATGATGCCAGAAGTCACTGTTCCCCTTTAAAATGACGTCAGAAGTCACTGTTCCCCTATAAAATGACGTCAGAAGTCACTGTTCCCCGGGACAGCCAAGCTTGAGAGGGGTAGATGACAAAATTAATAAATTGTAAAATCCTAGCAGTTTTCATAACGTTACCTCTTTTCCTTTCTCTTTCCTCCTCCTCCCCCTCCTCCTCCTTCTGTTCCTCCTGTTCCTCTTTCTCTCTTCCTCCCCCTTATCTTCCTCCTCCTCCTCCTCCTCCTCCTCC